CCTCAAATGACGCTGTAGGCAAGCCCTTGGTCATGATATCGGCAAATTGTTGGGAAGTAGGGACGTGTAAAACTTCAATATGGGCAATGGCCACCTGTTCCCGGACAAAATGAATATCCAACTCAATATGCTTGGTCCGTCGATGATGCACCGGGTTAGCGGAGAGGTAGACCACCGAGACGTTGTCGCAGTAGACCACCGTGGCACGGTCAACACGGCAATAGAGCTCCTGAAGCAGCTGGCGAAGCCACAAACACTCGGCGATGGCGTTGGCCACTGCACGATACTCAGCCTCAGCACTGGAATGAGAGACCGTAGGCTGCCGCTTGGATGACCACGAGATAAGTGAGGGTCCAAGGTAGACACAATAGCCAGAAGTGGAGCGTCGAGTGTCAGGGCAGCCCGTCCAGTCTGCATCGGAGTAGGCGGTGAGGGCGGTGTCGGCGGAGGCGTGAAGCGTGACGCCAAGATCCATAGTGCCACAGATATAGCGGAGAATCCGCTTGACGGCAGCCCAGTGAACGTCTCGAGGAGCATGCATATGAAGACACACCTGATGCATGGCATAATGGATCTTCGGTCGAGTCAGAGTGAGGTACTGGAGAGCACCAACGATAGACCGATAGAAAGCAACATCCGAAGCAGGAGAACCATCCATGGCAGAAAGCTTGGCTTTCGTATCAACAGGCGTAGCGGCGGGCTTGCAGTTAAGCATGCCGGCGCACTCTAGGAGCTCGTGAGCGTACTTCCACTGATGAAGGAAGAAGCCATCCGAACGACGCACCACCTCGACACCGAGGAAGTAGTGCAAAGGAGCCAAGTCCTCGATGGCGAACTCAGCGCGAAGACGAGCCATGAGCTGACTAAGGAGACCAGCCGTACATGCTGTCAGGATGAAGTCGTCGACATAGAGCAGCAAGTAGGCCGTGTTAGAGCCCTGATGGTAGACGAAGAGCAAGGCATCCGAGCGGGGTAGAGCGGAACCCAAGCTGGTGGAGAAACGTCGCAATGCGCTGGTACCAAGCGCGCGGATCCTGCTTGAGTCTGTACAAGGACCGCGAAAGCAGGCACGCATGGTAGGGAAGCGCCGGGTCAACAAACCCGTTGGGCTGCTGGCAGAAGACCTGCTCCTCGAGGTGACCATGGAGGAAGGCGTTGGAGACGTCCATATGGTGCACCGGCCAAGCACGGGAGACCGCAAGGTGGAGAACCGTGTGTATCATGCCGGACTTGACGACCGGAGAAAAGGTGTCGGTGAAGTCGATGCCAGCACGTTGTCGGAAGCCACGAACGACCCAGCGCACTTTGTAGCAATCAAGGGTACCATCAGGACGGAGCTTGCATTTAAAGACCCACTTCCCGGTAATCACGTTGGTGTGCCGGGGACGGGGAACAAGCTGCCACGTCCGGTTGCGCAACAGGGCATGAAACTCCTCTTGCATCGCAGCCATCCAGAGCGGGTCACGAAGAGCGGCTCGAACGGAGGATGACAACGGCGACGGCTCAGAGGTGGACGCTGCATGGACATAGTCATCCGAGGCGTAGCGCGAGCTCGGGCGAAAACGCCCATACGGGCCCGGGTGACCGGATCGGCCACAGGCACCGGGGGAGCCGAGGGAGCCGGGGGCGCCAACGTTAGGGGCGCCGGGGGCGCCAACGCCGTGGATGTAGGAGGCACCGCATGCGGGGGGCGCACCTCAAAGCCAGGGGGCGGGCCAAGAGAGGCGTGCGAGCGCCCTGGGAGAGTCGTCGAGGAGCCCGCGTCACCGGTGGCGGGAGGAACAGCCGGGGGTACCTGCTGAAACGAAAACACATGCTCATCAAAGTAAACGTGCCGGGAAGTGAACACACGGTGGGAGACGGGATCGTAGCACCGATATCCCTTGGAGTTGGAGGGGTAGCCGATGAAGATGCAAGTGACAGAACGAGGTGCGAGTTTGTGAGGAGCGGAGTCGGCAGTGCTAGGATAGCAAAGGCACCTGAAAATACGCAAGCCATCATAAGACGGGGGCGTACCGAAGAGAAGATGGTGAGGTGCATAGTTCCATCGTGAACGGCAGGGGCGAAGGTTAAGGAGAAGTGAAGCAGTAGCAAGTGCATCCGGCCAGAAACAAGGCGACACATTAGCATGGAACAGGTGCATGCGAACGCAGTCGTTCAGAGTGCAAAGGACGCGTTCGGCTCGACCTTTTTGCTATGATGTGTACGGGCATGTGAGGCGGAAAACGGTGCCGTGATGCGCCAAAAAAGTGCGGAAAGGGAGGTTGTCGAACTCTTTTCCATTCTCCATCTGAAGCGCATGGATGGGACGCCCAAACTGCGTGCATACATAGGAGTAAAAAGCCGTCAAGGTAGAGATTGCATCTGATTTTCTGCGCAAAGGAAAAGTCCACACATAATGAGAATAATCATCAAGGATAACCAGATAATATAAGTAGCCCGAGTTACTAGGAACCGGAGAGGTCCACACATCGCTATGAATCAACTGAAAAGGAAAAGAAGCTATGGTGGTGGAGTTATTAAATGAGAGGCAAACGTGTTTGCCGACTCGACAGGCATGACAAGTGTGATCCTCGATCTTATTGCAACTGAAATTGAAACTCCTAAGAATGTGACGAAGTGTGACGGCGTTGGGGTGACCCAAGCAAGCATGCCAGACATCAACTCTAGCGGAGAGAGCGACCGGTGCAGTGGTGGTGGATGAGGGCAAATGCACCAGATAGAGCTCGTTGGGGTTGTCACATTGGTGAGGTACCATCCTGGTTCGAGCGTCCTTGACACTAAAACTAAACTCGTCAAATTCAACAGTGACATGATTTTCACGAGTGAAATAATGAACGGAGATAAGATTCTTAATAAGATGAGGAGACACAAGTATGTTATACAAAAATAAAGGTGTAGAAGTAGAAGGAAAAGAAGTGTGCCCAACATGTGTGATAGGAAGTGTGGAACCGTCGCCGACAATGATGTGGCGGTCGGTGGAGACAGGAGTGAAGGAGGCAAGGTTATCTGGATGAGCAAACATGTGAGCCGTAGCACCGGTGTCCATGTACCAATCACCACCTCCAGTGTAGTTGTTCGGCGTAGGAGCGGCATGCAGCCCGGTGAGGAGCACCGGGTCCCAGGGCGCCGGCGGTAGGGTCGGCGAGGGGGACGGAGACGCCATGGGAAAGCCGTAACCGCCGCTCAGCTGCAGCGGTGGTACTCTC